TACTGCAATTTCCAGTCCTTTTTTCAGTGTATTTACACTGTAAATTCATTTGGATTCTATGTAACCTGTAATGTCCCTGTAATTATAGTTCTTTATTTTGGATTCTATTCTATGTAATTACACTGTGATGGTAGTGCACTTACACTCTATTTCCCTGTGTAATTTCAGTGAATTACTTTCGTAATGGGTGTTTTTTTCTACTCTAAGATTTATATTCCTGTATGGATATGACAGTTACTGGGGTCAAATAGCAAAAGAATTAAGTCAGTCATTTTGGCTTCATCTTACATGAAGGAGTGCATCTTCATCTTGCTTGTATGACTCCTGTCCTTGAATGTTTGCTTCACCTTTTATCGGTGTACTAGAGTAGGGGTATCCTAGTATCCCGAACTTATGCACGGACAGTCGCAGCATCCCGCGGCAAGGCTTGCCGGGTGACCGCCAAGGTCCTCCGTGGTTCCTTTGGAGCCATTCAAGGGCAAAGTATCCAAGCTTAAGGAGACAAGACCCCGGCAAGAGGAGCTTGCCGGAAAGGCCAACCAAGGCAAGGCGCTTAAGGAGACAAGACCCCGGCAAGAGGAGCTTGCCGGGAAGGCCAACCAAGGTATCTCAAGGAACTTGCCGCGACGCGCCACGCGTCCCGGCAAGGCCCGGTGAGCGACAAGCTCCCGGACGCGACAAGACAACGACCGCGGCAAGGCGCTTGCCGCGGCAAGCCACCACTCTGTGCCCGCGCTCCAGCACACCCACCAACGTGTCGCTCTGGGACCCTTCCAGGCGTACGTGGCGGGAGGCTGTGCAGCCAGGGGTGCGCGGTGGCAAGCGGCACTGACAAGATTGCCATCGTGGCGAGCGGTGGCGTCCCTGACGGTCCCTTTTGCACTATTTAGGCGACGCAGACGGGCATTTAATGCCCTTGTCCCCTGCCGTCAGGGTTAGGTATGATACACTGTAGTAGGTAGCTGTACCAACCGCATCACCTTTCCATTTTTACCCTTGTCTACGTTGCCACCTGTCGGTGACCCCTTGAGCATATAAAAGGAGGCCCATGCGCAACGTAGAAGGGGGGGGAGGAAGAAAACACTCAGGCTCGGTCTCGTTAGCTGCTGGGGTGTACTGTAGCACTCCGCGCTCCCGAGCAAGAACTCAATACAAACCACTAAGCAGGAGTAGGATTTTACGCATCCGTGCGGCCCAAACCTGGGTAAACCGCTCGTGTGCTTCGCCTCGATCCGCTCTTCGTGCGACCCTCGCCCCCGCCGAACCGAAAGGGACTTGGTCCGCCGGTCCCATAGGTGCTCGTGGATTAGTCCCCCGGCATCTTTGGCACGCCAGGTAGGGGCGTCGAGGTTATGTGAACCAGATCCGGCGTTCACACGAGCTAGATCTTCATCATCTTCATCGACATGCCGCCGAAGAAGAAGGCTTCGGAAGCGGCTACTCCGTCCGCGCCGAACCCACCACCGCCGGAGCAAACGGCTGATGGGGCAGACGCCGGTAGAAGAACGGGCGTCGACGAGGGAGCTCACGGTGCTGCCAGGTCCAAGGACAAGGCTGCGCTGCCCATCGGCGGCATAGCCGGCTCCCACAACGATCGGGCGCACTTCAAGACCTCGGCGTCCGTACATGCACCGCGCCCATCTTAGGAGGCGCGGGACCGGCAGCGTCATGGTACTCACGGTACCATGCGTTTGCTGGACCAAGATCGAGCTGGTGGATCTCAGAGTGCTCAAGACCAGCATGCACGCCAACATGCTGGCACGAGCGAGGCACGGTCGCCTGGACGGGATACTGCTCCTTCTAACATAGTTAGAAGTCCGAGCATATCCCGCTCCTCGCACCGTTCGCCACCGCCACCCGCCACTCCAGCAGAAGCTTTGGCGCGAGCTCAACTGCTCCTGGACTATCCTCCAACCGCAGACAAGATCGACGACTGGAGGGCCACCATTCAGAGTCTCATCGGCTTCGCCAACGGCGACACTCAACGGCAACCGAGCACGTCGCAGCCGCAGCAAGTCAGCCAGGCATGAGCCGGTGGCGACAAGACCGGTGGGGGTGCAACCACTGTGCACTCTCCGCCCCGAAGGCCAAGATTGCCGACTCACCGGATCCACCTCGACAGCGACTCCACCGCGTCATCAGATCCACGAGCTCGTCGCGATCAGCGCCAAGTTCTTCACGAACGACAGCAAAAAGACGCTCGTACTCGCATCGAGCGCCGAAGAGAAGCGCGACGTCAATAGGACCAGCGCGCTGGGCCCTCTGTCGACATGCATGCGCCAGGGGAACCAGGCGACTTGCCGTACATGGTAGGTTGCCCTGCGTTTACCCGTGAGCTGCGGCAAGTCCAGTGACCCAGCACAAAGAATTTCAAGCCAGACGTATCAGAGAAGTACGACGGCAAGTCGCATCCGTCGGAGTTCCTCAGCATCTACACCATCGCGGTGCAGGCTTCCGGGGGGCGGGACGACAAGATCCTTGCCAACTACTTCCCGCTGGTGCTCAAGCCCAACGTCAGGTCCTGGCTCATGCACTTGCCGGACAACTCCATATCCTCCTAGGCAGACCTATGCCATCAGTTTGTCGGCGCCTTTACAGGCGGCCACAAACCTCATGGCCAAGAGAGTGACCTTCATCTACTCGCCCAGAAGGAAGGAGAGCCCCTACGCAAGTACATTCAGAGATTCAGCCGTGTACAGCACAACATCCCAGATGTCCACCCTGCCGCGGTCATCAGCGCGTTCCATCAGAACGTGCGTAACCGCAGGATGCGGGAGGAGATGGCGATGTGCAGGATCAGAGACGTCAGTGAGCTGTATGCCCTGGCCGACAAGTGTGCACGTGCTGAGGAAGGGAGGAAACTCCCCGGAGAGAATACAGGAGCAGGAGGATCTGACAGCGAGGATGCTGCCCCGGCAAAGAAAAATCGGCGGCGGAACAACAGGAAGAAGAAAGGCAAAGATGTGCTAGTCATTGAGCAGTCCGGCAACGAAGGTGGCGCCAAGAAAGCCAAAGCTGGTAGCTCCGGTAAGGAGATTGCCGCATGCACCAACTGCCAGACTGTGGCGGTCGCCGACAAGCAGGACGGCACCGACAAGCAATACTGCAAGATCCACCGCACCAAGGGCCATGACCTCCAGAGCTGCAAGAAGGTCGAGCAGCTTGTCCAGCAGCAAAAGGCTGAATACGAGCGACGCGACAAGAAGAGGGCCCAAGGAGGCGCTGGAGAATCCGGCAAGAAACGCGCCGGCCGGGGAGGACGCCGCGGCAAGGCCAAGAAGCGGCAAGGAGACAGACCTCCCCGCGACCGCGACAAGGATGAAGATGACGACGACGACGAAGACATGGATGATGTCGAGACCAGTGAGCAGGAGTTCCAGAAAGCCACAGAGGTCTTGTGCGTTGACGGCGGTGCTTCTCTGCATACTTCGCACCGCCAACTCAAGCAGTGGGTGCGGGAAGTCAATGCGGCGGAACCACCTGTCGAGTCACGCAAGCTTCTGAAATGGTCCAGCACGCTTATCATCTTTGATATTGAGGACCACCCTGATCGCACAACTGCGGTCGGGTGCTTGCCGATGTTGGTTTCACCAACTATCCGCAACCTCAAGGTCACTAAGATGCTAGTTGACGGCGGGGCCGGCTTGAACCTGATCTCCCCCGCTGTACTCCAGAAACTCCAGATCCCTGACAGCGAGCTTGAAGAGACCGGCACATTCCAAGGAATCAACCCGGGAAGGAGCAAGCCGAAGGGGAAGGTCACGTTGCCACCTTCTTAATGCTAGAATTTTTTAAGATAATGAAAGCATTCACTAGTATTTTTTGAGCAAGGGGACTCTACTTATTTTTTGATTTTCACTGTACTTATTAGGTCTTTACAGTGTAAAAAGTTGATATGCGGTTTTACAGGCATGATTTAAGATGATTACTGTTTTTACACTGTAAATCTACTACTCCCTCCGTTCCTAAATATAAGTCTTTTTAAAGATATCAATAAGGACTACATACGGATGTATATAGATGCATTTTAGAATGTAGATTCACTCATTTTGCTCTGTATGTAGTTTATATTGAATTCTCTAAAAAGACTTATATTTAGGAACGGAAGAAGTATAAAATGTCACTATAACTTGTAATAATTTACTTTGTAATCCTATTGTAAATTACATTGTAATTTTTTTAGCAGACAATTACATTGTAATTGTCACTGGAACAGTGGCTTTTCATTGTAATTCTACCATAAATGAGCATTGTAAGTTTACAGGAATTCTACTGTGAATACTGCAATTGCACTGTAAAAGTCACTGTAATTTGCTAAAATGATATCTGCTCACAGTAATTTGACTAATCTTAGTAGAGTTCCTGTTTTATGTTTCCTGTACTATGTAAAGGGGGAGTTTGATCATGTTTTTTCATGTCAATGTTGATCCCATGACCTTATTCTCCTTTTCAAATCAGCTTTTCTTAATTTCCTGCAAAGTAATGCTAGTATTATTTCCTCTGTTTTTTATGTGCACTTTTCATGTAGATTCTAAAGTAGGAGAGGGAACTGTTCACAGGGAGGTAGAGAAGATTGCAAAGAAGATTGCCAGGAGAGGATCTCTCACCTTTGCATCCATGATTTTCTCCAGGTTTGCCCTCTGGATCTTGGAGGAATTCCGCCCGTGGTTCCTTGTTTGATGGGGGTGGGACAAGGGCATCGACATTCAGGGGACAGGAACAAAACGGACGACATGTAACACTTGTTAAACTCAGTGTCGCTGAAAAATCTGACTGAAAGCGAATTGGATTTCAGTCGAATGTAAAACAGACATTCCCAGGATTTGTTTGTTATTACTCTGGTTTGGTTCTTTTCCCTTCCAAACACATGTGCGTACAAAAGCTGGACTACTTTGTTGAAGAGTTTCTTTCTTTCTTTTTCTCTCTATCATTCTATGCTATGTATATATAAGACCTTAGAAGACACGGTGATTATTACTCCTACTTAACTAGCTAGCTAGCTACACAGATGAGGCGGGAGGAGAGGGGTAGGAGGTGGCGCAGTCGGCAGGGGCGAAGGTGATGGTGCGCTTGTCGAGGTCGTAGCCGACGTGCATGTTCTGCTGCAAGATGCTGCCGATCGTCGGCACCGACCCCTCATACGTCACCGGCACCACGGCCAAGCACACGGTCCGTAGCAGAAGGTCCACGAACAAATTCTCCGCCTTGAGCGTGAGCAAGGCGCCCCCGCCCAGCTCCAATGTCACGTCCGGGAATACCTTCTCCAGCGCCTTCATGCCGTCCGCCTCGTAGCACACCGAAAACATTTCCGGGTTCGGCGACGGCGGCGGCTTGCGCGGGAGCTTGATGCTCCCGGTGACCGCCTCCACGACGGGGTCCAGCAATTCCTTGTCGAGGGACGTCAGCAGCGACCCGGAGTCGACGATGACGGGGGACCGCTTCGGCAGCTTGATGATCGAGCTCCCGATCCTGAGGGCCACGATCTCGACGGTGTAGAACGCCTCCACGTGCACGGGGGAGTGCACCATCGGAGTGGTCACCGCGCCCGGCTCCGTCACGGTGGCGCGGGACCCGAAGTTGAGCGCGGAGGACACGTCGCTTAAGTAGGGCGTGAGGCAGTAGGAGAACCTCCGGGGGAGCGACGTCGCGGCGCTCATCTGGTTGATCAGGGAAGATTTCCCGTCCGAGAGGCCGACGATGCCGTAGCCGGGGAAGTTGGCGGTGGTGGCGCACCCGAAGTTGACTCTGGGCACTTGCAGCTGCGGACGCTCGCGGCACCCCGTGCAGCCGCCGGGAGCGTCGTCGAAGGTGAAGGTCTCCGTGGCCACGAGGCCGCTGCTGTTTGAGCCGCCGACGTACGAGTAGCTGTACTGGCAGAAGGAGGTGGCATCGCAGGATGTGCCGTGGACCGAGTGGCACGAGTCGGACTGGCAGCCCACGCGGCCGTAGGTCGACGACGAGGAGATGTCGAACACGCTGCTCGTCCCGCCGGCTGCTGCTGCTGGCGGTGCCGGAGAAGCAGAACCGTTGGTGCATCTGAGCCACACGAGGTCGCTGCCGGTGTCGACGAGGGCCAGCATCCGGGTGCGCGGCGTGCCGACGTTGACGTACATGAAGAACTGGAACGTGCCTGAGATCACCTCCGACACCGCGCCGTCAGGGCCAGGAGAGCCTGAGCCGGCGTACGAGCGCCGCACGGCGGCAAGCACGCGGGCGCGCGGGGTGAGCGACGGGTCGTGGAACGGCGACCTCGGGGAGTCCCGGTGGATGAGCTCCACGCTGAACCCGCCGCCGGTGCACCCACACAGCAGCGGCGTCAGGATGAGGAAGAGGCCAAGGAGCGAAAGGGGGCGACACATGGTGCACGCCATTGCTTTGCTTTTGATTGTTTCCCAAGTTCCTAACTCGATCTTCCTCTCAGGGCAGTATTAATAGCGGGCAGTGTGTTTCAAAAGTGGCAACTAAGGATTCTTTTTTACAGGAATTGCAGATTTGATTAGCGAGAGATCAGTGGTACTACTATACTTGGAGGCCGTAATTAAGTTGACGCAACAAATGATTAGCGGTAAGTACATGCATGTTAATTAGGAATTTAGGATGAATCATTCGAGTCGGGGCAGGTGATCAATTGATTCTTTTTCTCCGCCAGCCTCAGCAAAAAAAGGCATCAACTTTAGACCTTTCAGAAATGGAAACGATTGATCCTCAAAAAAAGAAATGGAAACGATTGAACTGATTTGATATTTCTCCTCTGTTATTTTCTTCCCTTTTTTTCATCTGGCCATGTTTTAGAAGACCTCCTATTGCGCGGCGCACAAGGTAATTGGCGCCCGCAATGCGGCTGGATGGGCCGGCCCACGACCACGCAACGCGAAAAGAGACCGCCAAAAATAGACCTCGACTGGATCTCGCGCCCTCGCGCGTCCACACGGAGAGGCTAACCATTGGGCCAGTTAACTGCTAGTGAATATTCACAGCGCGAACAGTTTAAAGAATAGAAACTTAGACGTAGGGGCGGCGTAGGGCCCAGGCAGCCCAGGCCGACGCGTGGGGTGTGGGCCTAGTTTCCTTGCTTGGCTGTAGCCGTCACTGTAGCATTTGTAGCTACAGTGCTTGAAGCCTACCTGGATCGTGTACCTAGCCTGTCGTAGCTACTGCTTGTTGGACTCAAAAAAAAAAAGCTACTGCTTGTTGAGAAATTAAGCAATTGTTCGATTAATTTAATTAAATAATAAATCATGAACATGATATAGGCAGTGCTAATGACATACTGAATTTTGATGATGTACGCACGTACTAGACAGATAGTAGAAATATCTATGCAAACTACTAGTACTGCACACATGAAAGTAAACAGGAGCGGTGTAAATGTGTTATACCCTCCAGTAGGCCAGTCGGCCGTAGCAGCAGTGGAGGCGTCGGCCTCGTCTGCAATCCTCTTGTCCGCAGCAGCCTTCTCGGCAGCCGCATGATCGGAGTCAATGCTCATGGTGAAGACGAAGGTGACACAGAAGTAGTCGGCGTAGATGAAGTAGTTAAACCAAGAAGAGCAGTCGCGTAGGAGACGCTCCCCAAAAACCTAATCGCCTCTCTCTCATACAGGATCTGGAGAAGCGGGGTTTCGAAGGCCTGCTCTCCAGCCAGCCGTGTACACGGTAGACGGGATGGGATCACCGAGGGCAGCAGCAGTGAAAGGAACGACCAGGGAGTAGTGGAGGTGTGAAGTGCATGGAGCTGAGCTGCGATGCCTCATATATATAGCCAGTCGGGTAGGAGAACGGTCCAGCAATAAAACATGTTTAATTACAGACGTTCCATCTTCATAAAAACGCATTACAGACATTTCATTTTCATAAAAACGCGTTTAATTACATACGTTTCCATCTTCACAATAAAATTATTATGGACGTTTTAATTTCCGCAATGAATATTGAAAAAATGTTCATCATTAAAAAAATGCTCATAATTTTTTTCATCAAAGTAAAAGATGTTCATTCTTTCAAATCGCAAATATCTTTGAATTCAAGAACTGTTTTTTGACAATTCACAGTTCACAATGTTTTCAAATTTTAGAACCAACCCCAAATTAGTTTAATATAGAATAAAACAAAAACAAAAAAAAGGAAAAGTAAAAAATTGAAAACAAAAAAAACGGGGGAGCCCTGCCCCGCCCCGCCCCGCGCATAACAGGGCAAGCGGGGGTGCCTCATACGTTGTATAGGAGGTCCCAGCATAAACATCGATGTAAGCAATATATAGACGCGTCCCATTACGTTGAAATCACTAGTTAACGAATACTTGTTGCAAAGATCACTTCCACCTCCCGAGGTTATAATAAGTGGCTGCGCGCCACTTGTCGCAATCTGAGAGTTTTTCTTTTTTTCGTAGATTCGTTTATTCAAGATGTTTTATCTCTTTAACCGTGCGTCCAAATCTCAAACCGTTTTCATCATTGGATTTCTCGCGTCGAGATCTTCAAAACTAGATCCTATGTTGATAGGTTTTGACGAAAAAAAGTTCACAAAAAACCGAACGAAAAAACCGAACCGGAAGCACGGGTTTTTTCCTTTCCGAAAGAGGATGCCCGTGCCTCTCACGAACCACAACCGTGCCTCTCGTGAAAGCAAACCCATGCCTCTCACGGAAGAAGAAAAAGAGAAAACACATTTTTTTTCGTTTCCGAGGAGACATTGCTGTGCCTCTCGCGAAAACACAATCATGCCTTTCGCAAAAGCAAAATCCATGCCTCTCATGAAAGAAAGAAAAACAAAAAGCACTATTTTTTTCGTTTTCGAGAGGCACGGCCGTGCCTCTCGCGGAAGTAAAACTTTTTCTCTTGCGGGGACATTAGACACCTCTTATTCTAGTGTATTCATGCGAAAGATATTTGGAACCGACTGAGGATGATGGATATAATAGACTCGGCTACTATGGTCAATCATTCTGGCTCTGTTATAATGAAACATCTTTTACTTCAACCTGGATCTCAGTTGTAGATTATGCAAGTCTAGTGGTGAAGCGACCTCTTGTACTTGGGTGCTGGTATTTGCGATAGATCAGGCGCCAACTCACTCATAATGAACCATACCCTCCTTCGTTTCGGTGGCCAATATTTGTACCAAACACTGAGAGCAATTTTCGGAGATCCTGTCATTGAAGCATTCCGAAAGGTATGAATATATGGATGAAACCTGACCCAAGATTCTTAAATTAAATGTTGATGCAGCAGTGTTCATTGATGAAGGAAGAGGGTCAACGGCAACTATATTAAGAGATGGAAAGAGGTACATTCTTGGCAGCTCAATGCAAGTCTATTCAGTTTGCTCCAGATGTGTAGCTATTACTGAAGCAACGACGATGAGAGATGGGCTTCGCTTTGCTAATGCTATGGGTTTTCATAAAGTTGAAGCTGAGTCCGACTCACTTAGCGTCATAAACTTCGGTGATGGACAATCTCAGTGGTGGGATGCAGCATCAGTAGTTGTTACAGAGTGCATAGATGTAGCTTCTTCTTCTTCTTTGCGGGTAAAACACTTGTATTACTCAAATATTCAAATCCTTACAATCAATAGCATTTATCTCTAAAGAAAAAAATCTGGACCACAACCTAATCAAGTCATGGTTCTTCCCTCATTCCAAGCAAAATTAGCTAAGCTATCACTACGATTTATCAAAGTAATACATTATTCGACTGGGAAGATCACTTCTTTTCGTGATGCAAATCACATGGCGCATGTGCTAGCAAAATTTAGTTATTGTAATAAGTCTTCGATGAGTTAGGCTGGCGAGCCCCCGGACTGTTTGGTCACTACGCTTTGGACGATGTAATTTTGTTCCGAGATTAATGAAGCTAGCCATGATAGTTTTTTCCATAAAAAAATCAGTTCAATTGCCATTTCTGATAGGTTTAATGTTGATTCCAAAAAAACAATCCGGCGGGAAAAAAAGAGCAATTGATCACCTGCTTCATCATAAATTCCTAATTACTAATCATCTTGTAGCACCAACGTAAGATCAATGATATATGACTTAGATGTGCAATACTTATGGCACATCTAGATGTGCTTTAGCAAAACTGTTAAAAAAAAGTATACCGCTAATTTCTCGCCAATCAAATCTGCAATTTCCTGTCAAATCCTTACTTACCACATTTGTCACCCAGTATTAAAACTGCCCTGAGAAGAAGATGGAGGTAGGAACTTAGAAAAATTATTAACAGTCAATGGCGTGCACCATGTGTGGCGCACTTTTGCTCCTTGGCCTCGTCCTGATCCTGACGCCGCTGCTGTGTGGGTGCACCGGCGGCGGGTTCAGCGTGGAGCTCATCCATCGGGACTCCGCCAGGTCGCCGTTCCACGACGCGTCGCTCACCCCGCACGCCCGCCGGCTTGCCGCCGTGCGGCGCTCGTACGCCGGCTCAGGCTCTCCTGACCCTGACGGCGCGGTGTCGGAGGTGGTGTCAGGCTCGTTCGAGTACTTCATGCACGTCAACATCGGCTCGCCGCGCACCCGGATGCTCGCCCTCGTCGACTCCGGCAGCGACCTCGTGTGGCTCAGGTGCACCAACGGTTCTGCAGCTTCTCCGGCACCGCCACCGCCAGTAGCAGCCGGCGGGACGAGCATCGTGTTCGACCTGTCCTCGTCGTCGACCTACGGCCGCGTGGGCTGCCAGTCCGACTCGTGCCGCTCGGTCCCCGGCACCTCCTGCGACGCCGCCTCCTTCTGCCAGTACACCTACTCGTACCTTGACGGCTCCAGCAGCAGCGGCCTCGTGGCCACCGAGACCTTCACCTTCGACGACGCTCCCGGCGGCTGCACGGGGTGTCGCGAGCGCCCGCAGCTGCAGGTGCCCAGAGTCACCTTCGGCTGCGCCACCACCGTCCACTTCGCCGGCAACGGCATTGTCGGCCTCGCCGACGCGGAATCCTCCCTCATCAACCAGATCGGCGCCGCGACGTCGCTCGGCCGGAGGTTCTCCTACTGCCTGGCGCCCTTCTTCAGCGACGTGTCCTCCGCGCTCAACTTCGGCGCCCGCGCCGCCGTGACGGAGCCGGACGCGGTCACCACGCCGATGGTGCAGCACTCCTCCGCCGTGGGGGCCTACTACACCGTCGAGATCGTGGCCCTCAGGGTCGGGAACACGATCGTCAAGCTGCCGAGCCGGTCCCCGGTCATCGTCGACTCCGGGACGGTGCTGACGTACCTGACAAGGAGCTGCTGGACCCCATCGTGGAGGCGCTCGCCCGGAGCATCAAGCTCCCTCGCAAGCAGTCGCCGAAGCCGGAGTTGTTCTCGCTGTGCTACGAGGCGGGCGGTCTGGAGGTGCTGGACAAGGTGTTCCCGGGCGTTACGTTGGAGCTGGGCGGGGGCG